GCTTCATACACATTCACACACACACACACGTGTGTGGGGTGCTGCTGCGTGTGGATGTCACCTAACGTTTAACGAATATTTTGCTGACAGCGACAACGGATAATTAGTTTCGCTAACGAGAAAACTTCCACGTGCTGGCCAAGTCACACACGCACACACACACACACACACACACGAATAAACATCACACTTGACACATGATGGGGATCTCTGGTGCAACATGTTAACTCAAGTAGCGTTAACAACGGCGAGTGAAACATGGCCAACACGTAGTCCAATACAAGCTGCTGCTCAGCCATTCGAAGCGAATCGCTGGAATCCTTTGGCTGCCTCGCTTCACTGCATCCGCCGTTGCGTCCTGCTGCTAATAAAATGATTATGTGTTTGTTTTAGTGCTCGCAGGCAGCAGCCAGCATCAAGACATCGTTGTCTGTCTCTTGGCCGAGCAGACACTTTCGAAAACAATTGCTGCGATTGTTTACATATTAATGACAGCTACTTTTATGAACTGCCAACATTTTCTACATAATTGATTGCCGCGCAAGTGCTTGAGCATAAAATGCCATTTCCCGCCGGCTGAAAATGAAGCGCAAATTGCGCACATCTTTTTTTTTACAACAAGTATCTTATGGTAGCGTATATAAAGAGCATATGTGAAGTGTAATCAGCCAGATGGTGGCGGGCATTTTTTTATTTGACTATGAATTGTACGATGAGCAGATGAAGAATGAACTTAATTGAAATAGATTTGTTTTGAATGAAGCTGCAGGCAGCTACAAGTTTGAAATATCGCTTATCTCTACTCATGATATCTATATCAAAGCTATATAAGAATAATAATATCCTCCACTGCCTTCACTTCAGGATATCACAGATTTATGTACATGGAAAAAAAGAGCGAAAACAATTCTCTAGGCGTGCAGAGTTGCCTTTAAAACCAGCCAAGCCAAATAAATTGAATATAGAAAATACATAAATATTCTATAGAAAATATTAAAATTGTAAGCCTCAAAACAAACTTGAAAAATGTTCCATTACTGTATTACATATATAAAAAAATTAAAGTATTAATTTAACATATTTCAAAAATATGATAATAAAAAGGCAGATCAAGAATATGTAAACCATAAAAATCTGATTGCTGCTTTTAGTTAGTTTGAAATATGAATTATTAACAATGAAACTGCATAACTGAGACTAAAATTTATTTAGACAAATTTTGTTTTTTTTTTATCGACTATGAGTACAAGAATTGTGTTGGGACCAGCAGCCAGCGCTGCGTTTAGCACCAATAAATCCTCTAGATCTTTAGCTGATAGGGACTTATAGAAAATCTAGTATCTATTTCATAGTGCCATCTTCAGCTGTTACTCTATGCAACACTGCTGATGGCAGCATATGCAATTGTAAGCACCATTCACTTGCTCTCCTCCCATCACTCGCTTCTAACTGATGATTAAATTTGCATTAAGCACATTTTGTAATGCATTTGCCTTTTTTAGAGGCAACCGCTCATAATAAATGCTGCCCTGTTGCCGCTTGTGTCCCTTGGCCCCTGGATAAAGCACGCACCGGAAGTGGCTGTCGATTTGCAACAAATGGCTGCCGGATGTTGCCAAATGGCGCACGTGAGTCGCTCTCACTGCTGCTCTTCCCTCGTTTTTTTTAACGCTCCTCTAACCCCTTGGCAATTAATTTTGCCTAGCACGTAATTATTTTGTAGTTACACACACACACGCACAGCAACTCACACACATGCATAATTTGGGTTTTTGCAGCTAATTAAAAGCGCGTTGCTTTGTTCAAACTAGATGCAACGTGAGCCGCAAGGGGTTGGCTTGCAGCTAAGCAAGGGCAGCCGTTGCGCCGGCGGCAGCAACTTTTCAATTAGCTCTCCACTGGCCATTTGTTTGGTGGGCAAGTGCTTAAAAATTTAAATTTATGTTGCCTACTTTTGTGCGCTTATGAAATCTAGGCTGCGAGTTGACTTGTTGGAAGTATGTTTCGAAAATGATTTTTTTTTGTAGAACACTTTTAATATTTTTAGAATGAAATTCTAAATTTATTAAAAATATAGGCAAGTTAAGATAATAAATTTATTCTATAGTATAAATAGTATAGAGAGTATAGTATAAACAGTAGCTTTTAAAGCAACCTTAATCCCACTGCAGCTATGTTTGCACCCACAAACAGAGATTATCTTTTTAGTTATCCTTGCGGAGGAGAGCAAAGGAACAAAAGGAATCTAATTAAGTTTTCTCTTCTAGAGGAGACATAAAATGAAATAATTAAGGTCATGCCACTGATGGTACTTCAGAAATTTAGTTTACAAAAGCGTGCAAATTATTATATTAAGTTGATAAAAGTGGAAATAATAATTGGGCATTTAGTCTGCCTATATTAAGCTCTTAAAAAGCTAAATCAACTAATTAATTCTTATTTCTCTTTTATTAGATATTTATATTCTATATTTTAATCAGTCAGCTCATAAAAATTAATATAAGAATTTATGAAATATAAAAACATTTCTTGCTTTTTAGAAATTCGTCAGGTCTTAGAAATAACTTTTCATATATGAACATTGGAATTAATAAAAAATAGTTATTTTCAGTTCGGCATAAAAAAACTTCCTTTATTGAGTTTTTTTATTTACTCTCTGCTCTAAATCTAGTGAGTGGGTCCGTATAGCAGTAGATACGTCTTAAATTTCTACAAATATTCAATTCTACACATATTGTTTTCAAATTTAACAGATTGCTCTATAGACAATAGGCTATAATCTCTACAGCCTTGGCTTATTGTTAATAGCCAAATTATTTGCGAGATGGCTTGGCTGCGTTGACAGTCCTATCACGTATCTGGAGCTGCATTAAACACTTACCTTGAAGTCTTTGCATATAACATGCGACTTTCTTGTGATTCAATTGTAAATTGTACAAAAAATGTTGCCTACTTTTTAGCGCGAAAATATATTCATTCTCTGATTATCTTGTACATTTTATTATAGGGTTTCTTTCTGATAAAAAGCAAAGGGTATTTGAAAGTATTGCTAAAGAACAATAAAACTGAATTCTTTTTCCGATCAGTCAAAACCTCATGTTTCTGTTTTGGAATGTTTTGCTCTACGTAGGCTGCGACTGGGAGCTGGTTCTATGGGAGATTTGTAGAATAGGAGATGTGTAGCATTTAGACGTCTGCTCCAAGAAATTCGCTTCAAAATTCACGTGGCTAAAGACTTCAGCTAATATTTTTATTTTATTTATATTTATTTTATTTATATTTTATAAATTTTGGGAGACTTTCAAGTCTCAGTTTTGAGCACAGAATATCTCATTCATAAGAATATGACTTTAATTCGCAATCATCAAATAAATTTAATTCACAAAATCTGTGAATGCATTTTGAAAAGTTTAGTCATTAGTTAACAACTAAGCTGCATCCATACACATCATCTATAAAAGTAAATAAATAGCTAATTTAATTAAAAGCAGTTGCGAATCAGTTTCATCCTTGATGAAGTGCACAAAATAAGCAATAATAGAATAAACAGACGCTGTTTGTGTTTGCTTTGTGAATTTCATAATTATGGCATTTTTATTTGCATTTTAATTGCTACATTGTAAATACGCGTATTCAATATCAATAATTACACATAGACATACACTTAGTTTCTGTATTTTCTAATGGATAAACAACATACGAATATTCTACGATAAACACATAAATATGTATGCACTAAATATTTTATGCTTCATATATTATTTTACTTGAATATATATTTATTAATGTGTGTGTGTGTGTAAATGCATATCTAATGGGGTTTACAAATTGTGTTTAGCCATTAAATTGAAGGAGTTTTGTCATATATGCCTGCTGGTAATTACGCACTAATTACATAATAATAATTACATAAGTCTATATATATTTAATAATATAAGTATGTGTGTATTATAACTAAATAAATGGGCTCTGCTATAATTATTTGATTTTTAATTACTATATGCACAATTTGATTCGTAGTACTATTTGCATATTCGCATACATTCGATTGAAAACTCGTCTGGGCTCTAGCTTAGTCAACTATTTACATTTTACATAATTTATTAAATTTATTTCAATTTTTAGTTCATAATTAAGCTGTTACGTAACAATCTAACTAATCATTTAAGCGCCGGCCTTTAGCTGCCCGCATACTTGGAGGAACTTATCATACGTTTCTTTAACATTTACAATCATCTACAGCTAGAACTAAGCCTAAAAGAAGGGATAAAGCATTAAAGAGAGACAGAGATAGTGGAGAAGAAAGAAAGAGAGAGAGATAGTGTGTGGGTAGTTAGTCTATCACTAGCATAGAGCCATAGATATTGGCACTTCTTACCAAGTCAGCTTTATATATGAGTAGTTAGTTCGAACGAAACCTTTGAGAGTAATTTGTTTACTTCCTTTGAAATTAACAGCTTTTTTAACTCAGAAATGCTCTCAGTCTTAGTCACATTAAAGAAGTTTAGTTGTAACAATATTCCTATAAATCATACCAAATATATTTCGTAGTAAACAGTCGCAGTTGGGCTCAAGCGTGTTAGTTAACTGATTAAGAAAGAACAGGAGATACACAAAAGCTTTTAAAATTTTCAAACTTAATTGACAACGAGCAAGCTTTACGTCTAAATAAAGCTTGAACTCAAAAGATAAGTAAGTCTTCATATGAGCTTTAAGCTGTTTGGTAGGTTAAACCATTTACAAAGCGAAAGCTCACGGAGAAAAAAGCTCATTGATAAGAGAATTGTTTGAAGAGCTTTTATATGATTTGCTGTTTTGCTATTTTAAGCAACTGAAAGCACATTAAAGCTTAACCAAGAATAACTGAATAGATAGAGAAAACAATTTTAATATGAAAGCTTAAGAGTTCGCTATGAATTGCAAATTTCTTGCCAACTTTCGAGCATGAGCTACTTAAAGCTTTTGCTTAATCATACTGATTTAAGTAAAAATTAGGCTTTTTCAGCTGAGAAATTTATAGATAAAGAGCATAGTTCACTTCACTTTGCTTTTTACAGCTTAAGTTAAAAGCTCAATCATTTTACTCCTATTCCTTCACTTAACTTTATGCATTCAGCTAACCAACACGCATGAAGTCAACGTTTTTTTAGCACTGTTTAGAGTCAGTCACTGTCCACTTCGTTTGCTTACTCAAAGTTCTCAGCGCCGCCGTTGTTGAAGCGCTCGCACCAAGCAAGCAGCTCACGCACCTCTCTGGCGTGCAGCTGCTCCTGCAGCTGCGCCGGCGACTGGCTGCTGGCCGTGGCCAGGGGTCAGACATTGTGGCAGGGCTGTTGGCTGCTGCTGCCGCTGCCGGAGTTGCTCAACAAGCTGCGCTCGCTGGCCACGCTGCCAGGCGCATAGATCAGCTCGGCGGCCTCCTTGGCCAGCGGCTCCTCCACGTGAGCCTTGCGATTGGAGCGTGTGCTCTGCGCCCGCCAAGACTGCGAATCGAGTGGCAGCTGCTGCGGCAGATGCTGCTGCTGCGGCTGCTGCTGCTGCGGCACCAATGGCAGCAACTGTTGCTGCTGCTGCGAGGGCTGCTGCTGATCGTCGACCTTCACATAGAGACGCTCCATATCGTCCAGATCCCCATCGGCTGTATGATACAGCGCCTGATCGTCCTCGTGCGACATCAACATGGCCATGGGCGAAGGCGAGCCGCCGCAGCCGGAGTCAGCCAAGCCATTGTAGCAGAACGAGGAGCCATCCAAATCGAGCAGGTTCTGCTGATGACTCTTGGCCAGAGGCTGATCCTGCACCTTGAAGCGTGCGCTGTCCCTGCCAATGCTGCAGCCATGTGGCAGCTGCTGTCGCCGCACGCTCGCCGTCAAGTTCAACTGTTGCTGCTGCTGCTGCTGATGTGTGTTGGGTGCCGCTTCATAGGTATGGCAATTGCTCAGCTTGTTCTCTGTGATGTGCATGTGCATATGCTTGTCCTTTGGATAATAATATTGATCGGAGTAGACAGAGCGTGCGCCAGCCGTGTTGCTGGGATAGATCTCGCCCGTGGTGGACATTTGCTGATAGATGTTGGCGCTGGAGTGTGGTTGCAGCTGCAACTGTTGCTGCTGCTGCTGCTGCTGCTGTTGTTGCTGTTGGTAATGCGGATGCATGGGTCGCTGCATGCCATAGGAGTTCGGGCCTGGACGCTGCTGATAACGTGGCTGCTGCTGCTGCTGGTGTTGCTGCTGCTGCTGCTGACCGGGATTGAGTATGACGGAGGTGGCATAGGGTGCGGGAGATGCATTGCCATGACGTCCATACTCGCTGGGCGCCTTGCCAAAGCTGGACACCTCCGCATAGTCGGTGGGTATATTCGAGTACTCGCCCACGTAGCTGCAAATGAAGAGATAAAAACAAAAAAAGAACATTTATTGCCCGTCGCTTGTTTATTACAATATTCCCTCAGAGAGTGACAGAGGGAGAGGGGGAAGTAGAAACATTTTTCGGTTATAAATTTGTCGGTTCGTTTCGGATTTTTGGACTGCCTGCGCTTGAGGTTGAGAATTTATGGCGTGCGGTCGCCATACGTAGCGGAAATTTGCATTTCGCCTCAGTGCGGAAGCCCAGTTCCCAGGCAGCGGGCGCGTGCTCATGTGTAAAAATGGAATTTATTTCGGATTTAACATTTTACATATTCACACCTGAACAACTGCCCAGTTCCCCAGGCCAACTACTCTACAAAGCTGCAGCTGTAGTTGGAGTTGGAGCTGGAGCTGGAGAAGCTCTAAGCAGCAGATAATGCTTATCATCAACTGCAGCTGGGCAAAGCAGCTGAACGCGACTCACGCACTCACCTAAATTAGCAGAGCAAAATACATCAACAAAAAGAATTGAAAGGCGTCAGTGATTGACTTGAATATACCCTGTAAAAAAAGCTGTAGCTGCATGTGATTTCTGCAAAATTATTTCAAGTAAAAATACTTTTGAAAATATAAATTTTATGTCTTTCAGAAGTCAAGTACTTGAACTCTTACTCTTAGCTCTTGGAGTTCTTGAAATATGTGAGGTTAAAAATTTAATTTATTACATAAAATTTTTGAGTTATATAAGCTTTAAAGCTGTTGAAAGCTCAGAACCTATTCTTGAAAATCCAAGTTACAAAGGCAAATCTTTTAAATATTTCTAAGGCTCTATCAGTCCAGTTAACCTTTCAACAACTTCTACAGGTGACAAAAAAAATCCAGGTGAACACAATTTTTAACATTATTTTCGTATTTAAATACTGAAAGCGGATTAAATAGCAGCGAGCGGTAAGAGTGAGACGAGCGAGTGTGCAAAACGAGCCCGAGTCGAGCTAAAAGCTGACTAAAATATGTATGCAAATACATACATATATATATATACATATATATATAGCGTATTGATGGAGTCGCCATGGTGCAGTCGAGGTGGAAGTACAAACAAAAAAAAAACACTTTGGTGCGTGCATTTCAAAATACGCTTTTAATGCCCTTAATGAGTTTTCATTTGGCGAAGGGAAATGTCTGTGCGCTGAATGAATCCTTTGTGCCAGACCAACAAAAAAGGTAAAACTGACTGGGGTCAGCGTTAAATGTCAATGAAAACTATGTGCAAAAAATAACTGCACGAGCATAAGTAGTTTAAATAGCGTTTACATTGCAAATGTGCAAAATATATACTTATTATTGAATTGGAAGGGATTAATTGGGCAAAAAATTGAGAATCAAAATTATATTTAATAAGCTGAATTTGAATTGAAATTGAAATTTAATCAAGCAAAAATGTTCAGATGCAGGTGCTGCAGCGTTGCCACCTGCTTGTGTTGTATAGAGCTTAAGCATAGGGCAGTTGCTGGTATTATCAGAATTAAAAATCATTATATATTAAATTTATTTACGAATATTTATATAGTAAAATAATTTATTTTTAATGGAAATTGTTAGGAAAAAGAATTGTAAATTCTGAATAGTCATTGCCACATGGTTTTGCAATGTTCGTTTGTGTTGGAAATGGTGATAATAATTATATTCACATTTGTGATGATATATATTGATAAATATTCAACAATTTTAGACTTAAAATTAATAACAAAATATACACAAAAATTTAAAATATATTTAGAAATTTTTTAAATTTTAAATATAATTATTATATATTTGTATTTCGAAATAAATATTTAAAATATTAAATTCCATTTAAGAATAGTATTTTGTATATAGAAGCATTAATATATCTGAGTGGGTTTCGTTATCAGATATATTAATACAGTTCTGATAACTGGAATATTTAATGATGCTACAAGACTCTTAACGCACGCTTAAAACTGCATTAAAATTGAGCCCAAACGAATGCATTCGTTTTTTTTTCTCGCTGCACATATGACACTCATTAAAGTGTGATTACTTTTATATTGTTATTGTTATTGTTATTGTTATTATTATTGCGCTTGTTATTGTTGTTGTTATTGCGTGTTTGTTGCAATTATTATTAATATATTTGCGCGCATTTTCAATTTGTGTTTTTAATGTCTAATTAAGTGTGCGAAAATAATTTTAATTATGTCGCTGCAGATATTCAGATCATATATATATATATATGCACGGTAGTTGGAAATGCAAATTGCATTTAAATTATGGATAAATCGAGATTCATATAAATTTATATTTATTTCATTTTGTCGTTACATTTATTTCTCATTTTTATTTGTATTTTATTGATATTTGGTGCGGCGTTGCTGCTCTTCAGCTTTTTACGCTTGATTGGCATTTAATTGCCTTTCAGCGGACAGCTGTGATTTTTGCCAGTCGCCGTGGACTTATTACAATCCACTCTCGATTCCCGAAAGTTATGCGAATCTAAAAGCGCACTTTAAAATAATTTAAAGTCTATTTTGTTAGTGGCCACGTCAATTATGTAATTGCATTAAATCTGGGAGCGCTGCAATGCGTGAAATTGGCCACAAATAAATAACAATTACGGCTTTTTCGGCAGCGAATCAGCGAGAAATTAAACAAATCTACAAAATGCAAACAATTATTTTATGCCTTCTGATTGCCAGACAAATAAATTAGCCACGCCTGCCGTTGTGCCAGCTGCCATTCTACAAATAATATTTTCAGCTTTGATTAACCATTCCACTAGAGCCGCAAATGATTTATACGAAATGTAAACGAAAAAACATGAAAAAAAGAATATTAAAACAATTTGACCAAAACATATTTTGGGCAGGCCAAACAAAATATTTGCACTCGCTTAACTTGCTTAAATTAAGCGAAATTTAACAAAAAATATTATGAATTTTTTTGTTATAAAGTTTCTATAAAGATTCATAAAAAGTTAATTATGAATCCATTTTTCTCTAATTAAAACAATTCCTACTTCAGCCATCAATTCTAGTTAGCTAGCAACTAAGCTGGACTCTTCTAAACCTTAGCAGACAGCAACTTAAAGCCGTTAAGTCTTAAAGCTAGACAAATGTATATGTTGTGTAGGTAGCACAAACTGCTGCTCGACACTCCAATAATTACATTTGTGCCAAGCGGCGGGGGCGAGCTGGCTGAAAACTATGCAGCCAATGTGAACTGTCCGCCGAGAGCTGTTCGCCAGGGAGCTGTCCACTTGCTGCTGCAAAAATCAACATAAATAGCGCGGCAACATCTCCATTTCTAACTTGATTTTTGCTGGCCCGGCGCCGCCTGCTAAAAAGCGAAAACAAAAATCTACCAAAAAGTTAGGTGTGGACTATGCTCGACTAGGAAATACCCTGAGTGGCAATAAGCAAAAATTTCAATATTTTTTAACTGTGTAGAAAATCTATAAATTTATCGATTTTACAAAATATCGATAAAGTATATTTTCTTGTGATTGTGTTAATAATTAGAATCATATCATCATATTTATTTTTATAGATTTTCTTAAAATTCGATAAATTGTAAAAATTTTATATTTGCGCTTAACAGACAATTGGAAAAATGAACTTAATCGATAAGCTTATCGATTTCACCTAAGGAACATTGCCTCGCTCGGTCTACCAATATTATGCCAGCATAATTACAGCTTGGTGGATGTCTTCATCTCAGTATATAATATCGCTCTTCCCTCATTCAATACACCCACTGTGTCCACTGTGGCAGTGGCCACAGGGTATTACAAAAGTTGTGTAAAAAAAATTGTTTTTGCGACGCGCCAGAAAAATGCAATTTCACAGTTTGGTGAATTTTTATTGTCGTCGCTTTGAGTGGGTCCCCAGTTAAATTTCCTATTTCCCTTTCTATATTTTTTCGTGCGCTTACTCTAGGTGGGGGCGTGTCTACCTATGTAACTATGTGGAAAAACTTACCGCTGATGATTGCGTTCGCCGGCATGTCCATGAATATCATCGATGCCGCCTGTGTTGCCGCTGCTGGTGGTGGCGCCGCCTGAGCCGGCACCGCTGGCACCACAGACGGGCGCATAGTCGGCAATGTGATCCTTCTGCATGTCGAGGGTATCGCCACTGGGCGAAGTGCGCCAGACCATGCCTCCCGTGGAGGCATCCAGCCAGTAGCCGTTGCCATTGCGCGTCGATAGGCTCGGCATTTTAAGCACGTCACTCGTGTGACTGCCTGCAGGTGAGAGAGAGAGGCAGAGTGTGAGTGAGAGCAATTAAATGTTTTGCTACAAATTGTGTGAGCCAAATAAATTGTTGCCCTAAATGAACAAGCAGAACAAAGGTGGAGACAAGCGCTGTGTCTGTTTCTTTGCCTGTTCCCAAAAACCAATTCGCAAATGTGCCAAAACAATTTGAGCCTTGTTTTATAGAAAAATTTGTATACGACTTAAATATTATTGCTTTAAAACAGCGAAATATGGCAAATTCTAAAAACATATTAAATATAGTTTAAATATCTTCAGAGAATTTGTGGAAACTTTAAATTTAAGAAGTAAAAAAAAAATAATAATAAACAAAATTTTGAAGCCATGCAAAAAATCTGGCTATAGCCAAATTGCAACTATTTTTGTAGCTATTTTCAATTTTTTAAATTTCTAGCTAATATTTTAAGCTTACAAAAAAGCTTAAATTTGATGTAAATAATATCAAATTTTTTACAAAATATATATTATATATATTTGACAGCTCAATGTACAAATAAATATTTATCATAAAAAATAATAATCATTCAGCGTTTTTTACTTATTCTTTCATTTCTGCCATATCTGATATTTAAAAATTCATTTTATATGCTTAAAAAATGTTTCGAATTTATAATTGAAATATATTTTACAGCTTAATGCCGAATTGTAATTACTATATTTTCCTAGCTTATTTTACTAATTATTTAGAATTTCTAGCAAACATTTTAAAGCTTAAAAAGTAGGCGAAAGTGTCCTTTTCGTTTGGCTTATGGGATTTCAATGCAGTGCTATAAATTCAGCGCATTAAAAATAATATTATGCCAAGGGCAGGCACAGGGGGGCGTATGCGCAATTTACCCTATTGTCACAGCACACGCACACACACACACACGGCACACAGTGGAAAATCAAATAAATTATTGTCAATTTTCCAGTTGGCGCTTGTGCAAAAATGTGTTGCATACTTTCGAGCAGCTCAAATAAAGTAAAAGAGGAAAAAAAGTATTGCATAAAAAATGCAGCAATTAAACTGTCCCCGGGTTATAACTGCGCATCAAGCGAGTATTTTATGGCGCCTGTTGTTGAGTGGGGCGCAGGGGCTGAGGTTGGCAGTTGAGTTGCTGGGGCGCGGCCTTCATTGTCTACAGCTGGCCAGGTGAGCTTTGCGCTTTTTGCTGCTTAGTTTATTGCAACTGGCGCCCGATGAATATGCAATGCGCGCCTTTTTTTTAGCATTGGGTTTTTTCGTGCTCTGCGGCTTGCTGAACAATGCCAAAGTTGAAAGGCAATGTGGTAGTTGTTGCTGCCGCGACAGCTAAAAACCAAATCACAACTATATTGTAAACTAGTGTAAACTATGGAAATTGAAAATAATAGCCAACAGCTTTTACGGGCTTGTTCTTAATGCGCTTTCGCTGCGAACGCGCTGCAGAAGTTCTTTTTCTTTTTTTGAAAGGGCTTTCATAAATATTTTAAGCTCCATTTCATGATGACTATATGTTGGATAAATATAGGAAGAGGTGTAGTAAAAGTAGTAGGAATGAGTAGTAGTGGTTGTAGGAGTAAAAGTAGATGTAAGAGTAGTAGTAGTAGCATTGGGATGTCGTAGTAGTAGTAGAAGTCGCTACTAATAGTAGTAATTGCAAGCTATCAACTGCTAGTAATAAAAGTAGTACAATGTTATATAGTACTAGTAATAGTAGTAGCAGGTCGTAACAGTAGTAGTATATAGTAGAAGCAATAGTAGTAGCAGTAAGTAGTAGTAGTAGATAGTAGAAGCAATAGTAGTAGCAGTAAGTAGTAGTAGTAGATAGTAAAAGCAATAGTAGTAGCAGTAAGTAGTAGAAAAGCAATAGTAGTAGGTAGTGATAGTAGAAATGGTAGCAGTAGTAGTAGTAGTATTAAATATAGTAGTAGGTAGAAATAGTAGTAGGTTGAAATAGTAGACCATAATATTAATTGGAGTAGTAGTGGGTTGTTATATAGTGGTAGTAAAAATTGTAGTAGGAAGTAGAAGCAATAGTAGTAGGTCGTAAAAACAATAGTAGGTAGAAATAGTAGTAGACTATAATATTTGTTGTGGAGTAGTAGGTAATTATAATATAGTGGTCGTACTAGTAGTAGACATTAATAGTAGTAGGTAGTAATAGTTAGTAGTAGGTCATCTTAGTAGTAGTCTTAGTAGTGGAGGTAGTCACAGTGGAGCTTTTAACAATAGTATGAATATGAAAAGCGTAGTATTAATACTGTTAAGGAAGTAGTATTTCATGGTAGTAGCTGCAATAGTAGTAGCAGCAATAGTGGCAAATATAGTAGTAGCAACAATAGTAGTAGCAGCAGTAGTGGCAAATATAGTAGTAGCAACAATAGTAGTAGCAGCAATAGTGGCAAAAATAGTAGTAGCAACAATAGTAGTAGCAGCAATAGTAGTAGCAGCAATAGTAGCAGCTGTTCAGCCACTAGAATAGGAGTAGCTCTCTAGCCACCAGAATAGCAGTAGCTTTCCAGTCACTTTATAGTAGTAACTACATCAAGTAACTACAATTTTTGGTGAGTTATTCAAAGTTCTTCCCTAGCCATTGATTTGCTGCTCAATATGCAGCATCTTTCACCTCAGCACGTGCCATTTGTATACCCGAATTCGAATTGGAATTGCATCTTCCATTTGCGTAACTATTTAATTTGCCACTGCCCTTGTTTATTGCGTAGTGCCACAAGCCAGAGAGCTGCGTTTAGTGTGCAGCCAGCTAAACGGAAAGCCCAAGCACCAGTTGCCACATTCAAAACGGGCGCCGCATGCCTCTCATGCAACCAGGCAGCCTCTCGGCATGCTCGTAATGCTGCTAATTTCAATTAGACCACAAGGTCTGCCCTCAAATGCAAGTGTTGAACATGCCAGGGACACACACGCACACGCTCACACACTCAACTTGTTGGTTAATAATGCACACAGAACTAAATGCATAATTGCAACCGACTAGGGCAAAGCTGACGAGAGGGAGGAGGGACTAGGGAGTAGGGAGTTCCTCTCCGGCGTAGGACGTCACGTGCAAAATGTTAATTTCTATTATGCGCCCGGCACGAAAATTTTGTGCTGCCTGCTAAAATATTTATTCGCACCTATTTTGTTGTGCGCCTGTGTGTGGGTCGCGCACAATGGAAAATTAGTGTTATTTATACATGCAAATCTCTCCGTGTGTGTGGGAATGCAAAAAGTCTGGCTAGGAAGGAAGCGCCACTAGCTGAACGCAACGGATGCAGCTCGGATGTGGCCGCCTCCGCCTCCGCTACGCCGTCTCGTACTCACCTCGCATGGTATTTAGCGCCGACTGCTTCATCATCATGTGCTTGCGCTTAACAAAGACCATGGCCCCAAAGGACAACATCATGATGGCCAATATGGCGCCCAGGAGTATTATGAACCAAGGCTGTGTCAGCACATCGTTCACGTGATCCTGATTGATGGGATAGCTGTAGATGAAATGAAATATAAAACTCAAATAAATATCTATGTGAAATTATGCTTAATTAAACGATCTGGCAACGCTTAATTGTCGTATGCGCTTATTAAGTTGGCTGCACTTATTAAGTTGGCTGCGCCTGAGTAGGGCGAGGTTAGGAAGGAGATCATATCGCTTGGCTTCTATAAGCTTTGCATAGTTTTTTCTGTAAGCAACATAGAGCTCTACAGTAGAGCTTCGCTTTAAGGAACACACAGTTCGTCATGCCTAGCTTTCACTGTAATTGCAGCAAACATCTTCAACTTACCGCTGATTGATAAACGGATCTAGTCGCTTCGTTATGGGATCCAGCCGCAATGTAGCGGGCACGCAGTACGGTCCAATGCCTGCATTATTGCCCGCTGCCACGCCCACCGTATACATAACGCCCTCCGTTAGGTTGGCCAACACCAAAGTGGGCGAAGCAGCATCAATAGTGACATTTGTCAAAATGCGCGAGAAATTGTGAGCCGTATCAATGCCACGCACAATGACGTGATAGTAGAGCAAGATACCTGCAGTTGGGGTTAGGCAGAAGAGAAGGGTCAATGAGAGGTGCAAGGGGGTTAGAGCGAGGGTTATACATACCATGCTCTTGCTTCAGCTCGGGCGCCTTCCATTTCAAGAAGACCGCAGAGGCATTTAGCAGTATGGCCTCCATGCCAAATGGCGCCTCGTTGGGCACTAAAACGAGGAAGAAAAAAGTGAAAGATGAGTTCGGCAGGGTTAGGCGGGTTTCCTGGGGTTTTTGGGTCTACGTTTGGTTTGAAATGCGTTTTTGATTGTTGTGCCAGCTGCTCTAATGAGTCGCGGCTGCCACTGCTCTAATTAATTGCCATTTAGTGGGTTTAGCACTTGGGCGCAGTTCCGGGTAGACAAGCCCATTGGGTGCCAGACAGAGACAGCGACAGCTAGAGAGAGGGTTATATTTTTAGATGGCTACACAGTGGCTGCAACTCATGCTGTGGCACACTCCAAAAGCTCATCTTCATTTGTTTATTTATTTCCTGCTCCTCCGTCTGAGGCAATTTCTTTAAATAAACACACGTGCGAAGCAACGCAACGACATCGTCTCTAAATAGGCGACTGTCTAGGTAGATATATATATATATGGGGTTAGGTGTACTTAGGAGCGTGTTGCTGCGATTCCTCTTTTATTTTGCGTGCTTCGCTTTGTTGCTGCCACATTTTCCTGCTGCGACATGCTAAAGTGCTCGTCAGGCTTTTTGTCTATGGGGGCTTTGCCTTGCTTTCCTCTTTCTGATTTTGTATTTTCTTTGCTTTTATTTTCTATTCTTTGCTATTCTTTTCTTGTCTCTTGTTGTTAGCCGTGTCTGATGACGCGCTTAACACGTAGCTGCCATTGTGTGGCATACACGACCTCGGGGCAATTGTAGCCAAGGCAGCAGCACAAAAAATGTGTTGCACATCACATTTGAGAAACCAATTGGAAAATTGCAATCGAAACGACGCTTTCCACTGGCTGCTTCCACTCATTTGCCAGCCTCGCAGTACCCAAGCTGTATTAAGGCAGCTCAGGTCTGAGTGGCTCAGCACTCGACCCTAAATGCTCTGCTGTTTACACTGGCAAATTGGCAGCAATACTACTAAACAGTGTTGTAAAACACTCGTGAGCTCTAAGTGGTATATAGTTCTCTAGTTCATTCATTGCTTAGCTTTTGCAGCTGCATTTCGTGCGGCTTGAGTTTATAGATATATCACGAAATGCCAAGTAGAAAATTTATTCTAATGTTTTTATTTTTGTTTTGTTTTTTTTTTCTGTTTGCTTTCTTTGACTACTCCACTTTTATTTTGCTATATATAGATATTTCGCATACTCATATTTTATTTTATAGTTCCAATTTTCTGGAAAAATGGGTTCTAATATTTTTATATTTAATTATTTTTTTTTCTTTTGTTTTAGCTGTATATAAATATAGCTTATACCGTATTTTATTTTATAGCTTCAATTTTCTAGAAGCTTATTTTACTTTCCAATTAAAGGAAATGCCTAGTCGAAAATGTATTCTAATATTTTTATATTTAATTTTTTTCTTTTGTTAGCTATATATTAATATAGCTTGTTCCATTATTTTATAGTTTCAATTTTCTAAAAGCTTTTATTTTCCAATGGAAATATCAGAAAAATGGGTTCTAATATTTTTATATTAAATTATCTTTTTTTCTTTGACTAATCCACTTTTGTTTAGTTCCCAATTGATACTGTTTCCTAAGCATTACCTTCAGAATTATCTTAAAAATATGTTTAAAAATTTTAAACACACTTAAAATTTTTAATTAAATTTTATCTTAGTTTAAATAATTTTATTTAAACTTTTAAATTCTTAAATCTTATTTTCTAATTTTTTTTACACAATTTCTCTGTTGCAGCGCATTCCTTAGTCGTCCTAAACCTGTCTTCTAACACTCCCCAGTTATTTTTTTTTTTATTTTTTTGCTTATCCTTTATTTGCCCAGTTCCGCTCTGACTGTGGGGGACTTGTGCCAAATGCTTCCTGTGTGGATTCTTGGCTGCACCCACCTCCCACGTCCTACTCTAAGCCAAACAAGCTCTAACAAACGCGCATCAAAATTGCATGGCAAGGCGCTGCAACACTTTGTGGAGACACCAAAGAGGCAGCTTCGTCTGCAGGCAGCAATAATTGTTGTTTATCTTTACACAATTGCGTTGGCAATTTCTTTGAGCTGTTGTTGTTGTTGTTGGGAAACGCGCAGGTGGAAATGTGATGCATACGAAATGAGTTTTGATTTGGTTAGCTTCCACGCAACTGCAGCTACTCGCAGACAGAGGGCGCTTTGCCGCTGACATTTGTGCATTTTGTATTGCAGCCGAGCGTTTGTTGACTTATTTGCGGCACTGTTGCCGTGTTTGCCTTTGCTTGACATTTGCTTGGCTCTCTCTCTATTTTTGTATTTAATTATTTCGTAAAAAGTCGTCTCATTGCGCGCTCTTTTGAAGTTTTTCGGGTGATAAAATGCAGCGATAAACCTGTCTGCAAAGTTTCGCTGAAGTCTTTGCATTTTTGCAGCTCAAGCGCCTAGATAGCAGCAGCGGGTGAGAGCTGAATGGAATTTTTTTGGACAGTCTTATCGACTGCAGCTGGAGCAAAAGCGCAGCTGCAGGACATGTGTCTTAGTTAAGCGAAGTTCACAGCAAAATCAGCTCGACGAAATTCGCCAAGTTTGCGCTTAGATATGTCGAACTTAGCTGTGATAGCTGAACAATTAAGCTAGGCAAAGAGAGTGAGCTTAAAAGGCTTGAAATGGCCAATAGTTGTGCCTTAAGAACAGAACGTGTGTGGGCTGAAGGCTCTAGATATAGCGAAGACTCCACGGAGAGACAGATCAATATTCTAATAGACAACTGCTTTAGACTGATTGCAATGCATAGTTTCTATAGGCTAATATAATATGTCTATAGGCTAATATAATATATCAAAGCAAGTCCAATCATCTCTACCTTAAAGTCCATAGTCCATAGAGACAAGCAGAGCTCTTAGCTAGGGACTCTATCTAGCGTAAAGTTTTAGCTTCTCCGTGCTCTCTTTGTCAGTCCTGTCAGTCCTTGCTGCATTGACTGTTTAGCTGCCCAAACATTATTCTTCACTAATCCAGAACTCGTTTCCTATTGTTTCCCTTACCTCGCTGGTCTTTGTTCCAGAGGTTTTTTCATTTATTCCTTCTAAGTTCGCGAAGACCCCTCCTACCACATCGCTTATCGATTCAGTGCGGCACAAATTTCTCCGCAAGTAGTTTCTCTGCGCTAGCATTTAAAACTTTAGCTGAAAAACATTGTAATTGCAAGGCATAGCTAGCTGTAGACGACATTCTGGGTACGCACATGTCGAGTCATTGAGCGCATTCTTTCACCTGCGACACATGTAAATCGTCACATCAGGTATTCAATACGGATGAATGGCGTCACGTGTGCTCAAGCCCCGAGCCCTTTTTCTTTGCCTAAACATTCCGCATGATTCGCTTTTTGCAGTGCTCAATGATTGACATACTTTTTATTTGCCATATCCGAAAGGAGCTCGGCCTTTTTTATGCGCGGCCCGAAATTATATGGGATTAGGGGACCCGCATCGGCAGCTGAGGCCAAGCACAGGGATGAGCGAGGAAGAGTGAGGTCCTGGCTTGGCATTTATGTAACGCATTTTCCTTTTTAGCGCTCATATCCCTTTATTGTATTACGCTATTGTTGCAATGCGAGCTGCTAGCCCCAACCCCTGGGCTGCATTTGTCACATGGCAGCAACCCCCGCGAGGCAGAGGGTTGCTCGCTGCCTGTGCTGGCATTTATATGGTTAGCTGAGTTTCGGGCTGCGATTTAGCTGGTTCATTAGACAACTGCATGGACTCTTTGCCACGCATAAATAATACATCAAAGCAGCCAAAGGCTGCGCCCACCAACTGACATCAAGTACTCACCATCTTCGAGGGTGCGGGCAAGGCGCGAATTCGAAGGTTTGCCCTCGACGGATTTGTAGAATGGCACAATGAAAAATTCATAGAGCGTATACTGCACGAGTCCTGTCAGCGTGCAGGACGAAGCGCCGCCGCCATTCAATATGGTTAGCATGCGATATTTGCTGCTGTACGCGCTTTGGATTTGACTCTGCGACTGTGCCTGAGCCTGAGCCTGTGCCTCGTGGCCATCCATCGCATCACGTTTGCCGGCAGCGGCAATATTTGGTTTTGTCGAAATCAAAGCCGATGCCGACGCCGACGCCGACACCGCGGCGGACGTGGAGGAGGCCAGCAACGGATTGGCATTGGCTGTAAGCGAGTTTGTTATTGGATTTGGTAGCTGGCGCGCATAGATGTAGAAGCCCTCGACGTATTTGCCATTGATGATCTGCATAAGCAAACAAAGTGTATTAGCTCTGGAGAGTACTGGAGTGGCCGGCTGCAGCTCTCGACTCTTACCTGCCAAGTGAGCTTCATGCTGGTCGAGTCCACAGCGCTCGCATTGGTCAGCTCGACCACATCGCCGGACAAGAGGCTGGCGCGTGCCTCGCTCAGATCCAAGCCGCTGTTGAAGTAACGCTGCGAATCGAAAAGATTTTTAAGTTAAGCTAGCTCCAGGCTCAAGCTCCCTACGCTAGGCTACTCACCGTGCCCACGGCTATGGGCTCCGACATGGGGCTGGGCAGCGATAAGCCATGCGAGTTCTCAGCGCGTATCAGGAAGAAGTAATTCACGCCCGCCACGAGGCCCAGCTGGGTATAGGTGGTGTTCTGTATGCGTGTGCCGACGGCCACCCAGCCGTCGGTTTCATTCTTGCCAAACATCTCGACGACGTAGCCGACCAGGCTAGACGCGCCCACTTTGTTGCTGCGCGTCCAGCTGAGGGTGACCGAATCGTCGCCTTTCTCCACCAGCTGCGGCTTGCCAGGCGGACCCGGATAGGTGGATAGCTCTGCTGCACGATAGAACTTGATGTTCGGATTGGTGGGCGTGTCCAGGCGCAGATAGCCGCTCCACGATGATTTGCCATTGCGATTGCTGGCGACGCAGGTGTACAAGCCCTCATCCTCATGGCGCTGCAGGTCCGAAATGGTCAGTGTGCCGGCCTCGGAGAGATTGCGACGCTCGTGCTCCTGCACATCGATGGGTATGCCATCCAGGTACCAGGATATCTGTGGAGCTGGTGTGCCCAGCGTGCGACAAGGCAGCACCACAATTGACTTAACGGGCAGCGTCTGGTTGACCGGACCCTGTTCTATGATGGGCGGCGGCAGCTCGAACTGGGTGTCCACAGTGACAACAGTGCGACTGCTGACGCTGCCGACGGCATTGAGCGCATTGCAGACGACCACCTTGCCGGAGTCCTCGCGGGCGAAGCGCGCTATCGCGAGCACCGAACGACCTTCGGGCGTGACGCTGACCTCCAGGCGACCATCGCGATAGCCGGGCAGCAACAATGAGCTGTTGCCCTCGACGGACCAGTATAAGGTGGGGCGAGGATGTCCGCTGGCCTGGCACTCGAACAGCACTTCATCGCCGATCTCCACCAGCTGGTTCTTGGGGCGTGTAATAAACTTGGGCGGCGCTGCGGAAGTGAACAAAGCAAACAGCGGATTGGTTGCGGGCTAAGCGTTGGGGGTGACCAGTTTGTGGGGCAATTAACTTACCGTGCACGGTGAGTATGCCCGTGGCTGTAATTGAGCCGACCGCATTGTCCGCCTCACAGCTGTACTCGCCCATGTCCTCCAGCGTGACGTCGTCCAGCTTCAGACTGCGGTCCTCAAGTATATGCACGCGACCTGTGCAGAGAGAGGGGGGTAGAGGCAGCGAGGGAGAGACATGTGAGAGCAAGTCAAAAACGAGCAACTTAGTCGGACGTCTTCTTCTACTTCGTTAGTAGTTCAAGTAGCGTAAAAATGGCCAAGACTGGCAGCCGAGGAGTTCAAATAACCGCAGCAAACTAAGCCAAAGCTGGCGGGGGCAGCGGCCGAGCCAGGGTCGGATATACACATTGAGCAGCTAGCTTTGTGGTTGTGTCTTACAATAAAAGATAGACGAGAGCTGCAACAAAAGGCAGCGACTAGTGTGATGGATATCGAAGTGCTAATACCCTGTAATCTAAGGCTATGTGGCACATGTAGAGTTGTCCTGAATCTATAATTCTCGCAGCTGTTTCGGGTCTTACTCAAACTACCCTCAATACATGGCTAAAAACTTGCTTTCTTTTCGCTTGGTTGACTGACTGCGAAGTAGGTTTTAAATGTTGTTGTTGTTGTTGTTGTTGTTGTTGTTGCTCCTTCAGTGGCCACTGTGCCAATTGTTTGCTTAACAAAAGTTTCGCCCACTTTTCCTCTATCTCTGGCAACTTCAAGTCTCGTCTGAGCTGACGGAATGTGTTTTTGCCGTATTTTCTTTTACGGCTTTTGGCTGCGAGGGCAGTTTAAAGAAGCGTAACTAGCTCGCAGAGGGGAGACAGACTAAGTGTATGTGTGCGAGCTGCGAGCATTTCCTAACACAGCTTTTTACCCTGGTTAGTTGCACTCTTTGGGGGGGAAAGTGCGTCCCTGTCTGAAGGACAACATTGCAACAGTCGAGTGTTGTGCAAGCAAAATTGTTGATTGCTGCCAACAGAGATTGGCAATTAACGGAATTAAAAGTTACAGTTGTGTTTACACACGGCAGGGGGACGAGGCGTGGGGCGTGGCATATCCCATCCACAACCACAATCGCACTAACAACAACAACTAACTAACTGTTCGTATAGGTGTTTATCACACTGAGAGAAATGGCTTGGCAGAGCTGAGCAAGGATGTGACTTAGCTAGTGTAAGATGGTATGAATAGCAGAGAGCAGCATTAGAGAAGTTATTGCGTTAAACAAATGTACATATTGAAGCGAGTCTAAATAGAGTTTGAGGCATGTTTTGATGGCTTAAGAGACAGAGATTAATGCTGGAAATTTGAGCTGGAAATGGGCATTTGCTTGAGGGAGAGAAGCTAGTGAGAAGTTCTTAGAAGTTTGCTATGATTCAATCGAAGTTATTTTATTAATGAAATGTTTAAATTAAGATGACTAAAGAGAGTTTGAGACAATTTTTGATGGCTTAAGATTCAGAGATTAATGCTGTAGATTTGAGCTGGAAATGGGCATTTGCTTGAGGGAGAGAAACTAGTGAGAAGTTCTTAGAAGTTTGCTATGATTCAGTCGAAGTTATTTTATTAATGAAATGTGTAAATTAAGATGACTGTAAAGAGAGTTTTAGACAAGTTTTGATGGCTTAAGATTCAGAGATCAATGCTGTAGATTTCAGCTGGAAATGGGCATTTGCTTGAGGAGGAGAAGCTAGTGAGAAGTTCTTAGAAGTTTGCTATGTTTCAGTCGAAGTTATTTTATTAATGAAATGTCCAAATTAAGATGACTCTAAGGAGAGTCTTAGACAAGTTTTGATGGCTGTAAATTTGAGCTGAAAGTGGGCATTTGCTTGAGGGAAAGATCATATACGAATGTGGGATAATTTCAGGCATCAGCTTCTAGCTTTCAGATACACATTTCCTTACATTTCTCTCAGTGTAGCTCAGCAAATGCTGTTGCAATGTAAACATGAAATGCCACAGGCCAAAGTAACCGCATAAAACAAACTTTTTTTTCGAACTGTGACAGTTGCCTTTATCAAAACTGCTCGCCCAATGCAAATATGGCAAAGTAAAAGCTGAAATTTCATTTGAAATGAAACTAAATTCCGCTTAATTGACTCGGCCAAGGGGCGGCCTTAGATATAATAATAATATAGAGCTGTGCAGATGACTTACGTAGTGGCATGTTGCCGGCGGAGGCTGTGCGACGCCAAAGGACATCCGGCAGGGGATCGCCGCCAATGCGACACTGGAAAACAACGGAGCTGCCCACTACAGCTGTCTGGTTCTGCGGGCCGCGTATGAGAAAGGGACGCACTGCAAGCGAGAGAGAGAGATGGAGAGAGAGAGCGTAAAGTAGGGGCAGCTTCTTTGGACACGAGTCTCTACACTTACCGTGCACCTTGAGAGAAGCGGTGCTCGACTCGCGAGTGCCGACGACATTCTTGACCACACACTGGTATCTGCCATCATCCGACTGACGGGCATCCTGTATGGCCAGATTACCGCCATCGACGATGCGTATCCGCTTGTTGCCTCCACCGGCGCCATTGCCACTCAGATTCAGAGTTTGTCCGTTCTTGCGCCAGGAGATTTGCGGTTCCGGTGAGCCACGCGGTGCACCGCATTCCATCAGCGCTACCTCGCCCTGGGCCACTCGCGTGTTTTGCGGTTCCAGTCGAAATTCATCGCGCAGAACTGTAAATAGAATAGCAGAGAAAACGAGAGAATTTTGTAACGGGTACGGGTTAAGCTTTGATTGATTCAATATTAATAACTCCACTTTGGGGCAGGGTAACGGACAGCAGCTTCAGAGACAAACATCCTGCAGCATTTGCTTTATCCCTTCTTCATACTTAATGCCGTCTGCCATTTGAAATCTACCCCGCACTCGCCCACCTGCTTGCGCTCAATACGCCAATAAAACCTTGATAATGATGTGCAGTCCAGACTTTGAGCTGCTGCTGCTGCTGCTGCTGCCGTTGCTACTTCGACTGCAGCTGCAATATTAATAAGCTTTGGCATTTGCAATGCGTATTTTCCTGCTGTTATTTCTTTTTACGTATTTTACAAACAGAAATTGCAAAATTGATAACCAAGGAGTAAGCATGACTTGCAAATATCCTGCCGAGCATATTGAGTGGTATCTCAAGTGTTATGGAAACTAAAGAAGATTGTAAGCCATAGCTCTTAGATGAAAGACCATAGAGCTGTCAGTTCGCTGAGTCGAAAGCTAGATATAAACTAGATAAATAGCCAAAGCTTAAGCTCTTATCTTGTCTCACTTTTATCTGTCGCAGTAAAAAGTTTTTCCTTCCATATTTAGGTCAATCAGATCGGAAATTTCTAAGAGTAAGCCTTGGTAGATGCTTGACTAATAGCAATCTTAGGGAACCCTTTGGCTTCTCTCTGGAAAATACCTTGTTTTTCAAGCTTAGGCCACCTAGATGTTAGATTTCCGATGTATCTTACAATATAATTCTCCCTCAGCTATAGTCTTTCAGGTTCTTTATATATTCCTTTAAATGAAAATATTCCTCAGCGCAAATTCTTTCTTTTGAAAGATTAGGAAAACTTTTTTCGTTCCATATTTAGGTCAATTAGATCGGAAATTTCTAAGGGTAAGCCTTGGTAGAAGCTTGACGAATGGAAATCTTAAAGAAACCTTTTGCTTCTCTCTGGAAAACACCTTGTTTTTCAAGCTTGGGCCACCTAGATGTCAGATTTGCGATGTATCTTTAACAACATAATTCTCCCTCAGCTATAGCCTTTCAGGTCCTGTATTATATTTTCCTTTAAATGAAAATATTCCTGAGCGCAAATTCTTCCTTTTGAAAGATTAGGAAAACTTTTTCGTTCCATATTTAGGTCAACATGATTCTCTCTCAGCTATAGTCTTTCAGGTTCTTTATTATGTATTCCTTTAAATGAAAATATTCCTGAGCGCAAATTCTTTCTTTTGAAAGATTAGGAAAACTTTTTTCGTTCCATATTTAGGTCAATTAGATCGGAAATTTCTAAGGGTAAACCTTGTTAGAAGCTTGACGAATGTAAATCTTAGGAAAACCTTTTGCTTCTCTCTGGAAAATGCCTTGCTTAGGCCAGCTAGATGTTAGATTTCCGATGTATCTCTAACATGATTCTCCCGCAGCAAAAGTCGCTTAGATTATTTATTCTATATACGTTTAATAAAAATATTCCTAAGCTTAAATTCCTCCGTTGCCTTTCAACTGTTGCCTATAATCCCAACAAAACAAAAGCTGAATCTGGGAAAGACTAGACTAAGGCATATATAAAGGCAGTGCAGCCTAGATCTTTGTTTTTCTTGCAGAGCTTTGCCCATTTCATTACACCCCATTCCATGCCATTGCCATATACAGGGTATTTAAATGGAGAATAACAAAATGTAAAATACGAAATGCGAAATGTGAAATGCAGAATGTGAAATGCAAAATGCAAAATGCAAAATGCACTTCAATAAACGCATAATGCGCTTCAGTGGACGCCAAAGGCAACACAGAAAGCAGCTACGCAAACTAAATGCGAGCTTAACAAACCAATCCAGCATTGAATCCAAGTGGACCGTGCAATGTTGTTAAAGATAAACAATTGTTAGCCAGGTGAAGACTATTAAATGCGAATGCGAATGCTGAAGGCTCTTTTCAAGCGAGGCTCGAGGACTGCAGAAATTGAAATCCTTTGCTCGACTGCGGCTACGCAATATTAATTAATCTGCTTGGGAACAGCCCTTGGCAACGCAGCGCAAAGCAGCCCCAAAAATAAACAGCGAACGTGCCGCCCTCTCCTGTTGCTAATCGCTCCATCTGCTGTTGCTCTGGATATCAATTACAAAACATTTTTGCGAACTGCAAACTGCGAACTGCTTTATTTTATTAATTAGAAAGCAATGCAAGTGCATGGCGTGCCGCGTCTACCAGCAACAGCAACAGCAACAGCAACTTGCAACTGGTCATGCAATGCACTTGCAGAAGGGTTGGCCAGGCTGGCCGCAAGTTCATTAGCTGTAAATGTGCAACGTCAATCGATCAACGTCATTGAGCCGATTTTTTGGTCTTATGCCTATATGAAGTTACATGTGGCTAACGCTAAAAATAACTATTAAAAATATTGCTAGCAACTGAAGCATGTCGGAGTACGAGCCATAGCAGCTTGCCAGCTATTTAAAGACTAGTTGTCACATAGGAAAACCTCACTTTAATGAAATAGCAAACCTTAACTTACATGGGTTTTCTATGAAAATTTTGATATAAGCTGTAGAAGGCTTGAAAATTAGTTTCGTAAAAAGTTTTTTAGGATTTGCCTTAGATTGTAGCTGATATGGTGATAAATGTATGGTTAAATGTGCCCCGTACTTTCCTCTGCTAAAATAATTTAACAAATACTATAACTTATTTTCTTTATATGAAAGTTTTTCATTTGAATCAATGCACCTTTCCCTAAATATTCAGTATTTAGTTAGTGTAAACCTATCTTAACTAAAACTGCAACTCTTAAATGACATGAGATTTGCGTAAAATTTTATATATACGCTCTACAAAGCTTCTCTCTAAATTTTAAAAAACTTTTGTAACAATATATCTAAAACTTTAGAAGATACAAAGATTTTTGTGTGCTAAATTGTAGCAAGTTTCTATATTTTTTTTTAATTTATCAAGTCTTATAAAAGAGCTCCTTCCCTCATTCGAACTTTCCAGCTACCAAATAAATTGATAAATACACTATAATCTATAACTAATCACGGCCTAACCTATGCCCATTAAAAAACAACCCTTAAATCACACATAATTTAGCCGAAATTTACAGAAAATATAGAGCAACATCTAAAATTGACTTGTACAAAAGTTCTTAAGCCGATTGACTAAAAGTTCTTGACTTATAGATACTTACATGCGACTTGCAACGTTGCATTCCTGGAACGTGCGACGCCGAATTCGTTCTTTGCCTGGCACCAGTACGTGCCCGCATCGCTCTCCCTGCGCGAGTGTATGACCTGGAAGGAGAGTGAGAGAAAGAGTGTGTTTTAGATTAGATACTTTAGAGAAGATATGTGTAATATGATGGCGAGTAGTTAGAAGCTTAAGAGCGACACGTGTCGGTGCAAAGATCAAAAACGAAATGCGCTCAGCCAAAAATCAAATAAAACTCTGGACCCAAAATTCAACTGCTGACCAAACGAGTCCACTCGACGTATACGCAATTTAATTTAATTAAAAAAAGACAACAAGAGTAGACAACCCTCTGCGGAGAGGGTCGTGTCTGTGTGCGTTTGTGCCTTAATCACTTGGCCTCTTCAGTTTTAATTGGCAACAAACTGTAAGCCGGCCGACAAGTCACTTAGGATTGGGGCACGGCTCCAAAAATGCCATTGAAAACAATAAAAATTAACTGGGGGTAGGAAGAGGCAACTCTTCTCGAGTTTCCGGGTTCTGTTCAGCTCGAGATATGTAGCCTGATGATTTTTAATGATAATGATGCCCGCCCCCCGCTCACACGCTGCCCACTCGACACTGGCGTCCAGAATATTGCAACCCATTCGTCAAAACAATAATTTGAACAAATTTAACAAAAACTCAATTCAAAGCGCGCTCAACTCGAAATAATTCGTTAAATTCCATTAAAATGGAAAATAGAAGCCAGAAAAAAATAACAATAAATTTTATATCAAATACATTTTTGTTGCATTTAATGAAAATCAACTGAGCGGGGGGTATACAAAAATGTAATATAAACAAAGCCGAAGCGGGGCAAAAAAATGAAGGAAAACTGGCAAAAATTGCAGCGCAGGGGGTGAGTGGGTGCTTAGCAGAGGGTGACTGCGCCCAACCCCCATCGCCTGCCCCTGCACCAAGACTCGTTAGCTTGAATTGTGAAATGTGCACGCACCAGGCGGAAAGGGGAGGAGAATGTGAAAAGACGTAGAGATGACAAATGAAGCGATATTTAAATGCAGTGCGAAATCGTTTAGATGAATACTGAAGACACTTTCAATACTAAGAATAAAAAATATTAAAAAAATACTAACATTGTTTTCAACATATTTCTGAGAATATTTTTAGAACATTTTTTTTCAATAAATTTCTTTAATACAGTATAAATATTTTTCCAGTATTCTAAAACATTTTTGTATATATAAAAAGTTTTTTTTAAAAATCCTAATTAAATAAATATTAAAATAAACAAATTCTTAAATTTTGAAAATATTCTTATATAATTATTTCTGAGTTTAAATCGAATATATTGATCACTAAGCGCCTTTCAATATTTCTAGATGTTTTGAAACATTTTAAATTTGAAATATTTTTGAAAAAATAAATCAAAATTATTCAAAAACTATTCTACCTGAACTACATTTGAGTCAAGACTTCTTTCATATATGGCTTCCACCCTATCCTAAGTTAAACCTCTAGAAAAGTCTTCGATATTTCCTCGCTTCCCTTTTCCGCCCCTTCTCTCTGATGTAATTCCATCTCTAACACAGAGCAACAAGAGTTCTTCAGCCTAGACTGTTTGGCAGGCCTGAAAGGGGGGCATTTTGATGTCCATGCCCTTCATATCTCTTGTTATTATTACGAGCTGTCTGCACTCTGTTTTACTTGCCGATCGAAATGCAACGAATCGGAAGCGCATAAAATAATATGAGCAACATTTCTGATGCACAAATGTTGCGATTCCCAAGAAACAAAGAAACGAGAGAAATCGAGTTGGGGCAGCTGGAAAGTCTGCTAATGATAGACTTTAAGACTTACCTTCAGAAAGAATAAACCGCCCGCGGGTAACATTATGCGATGCGAGCCCTCGTCCGTCTTCAGTTCGCGTCCATCCTTGAACCATTGAATCGAAGGAGTTGGATTGCCCTCGGCTTTACAGTTGAACGTAAATGGGCCATTCTTAGGGACCGTCGTATCCATGGGATGCTCGATGATATGTGGATTTTCACCTGATGAAAAGAAAAAAATTGAAAAATTAAAAAAGGCAAGGAAAACAGCAAAATTCTTTGTAGTTTCTTTGACAACATAGAAGTTTTTTTATTTTATCCTAATACCACCCAGAGACTTAAGATTTAACATGTGTGCCTGATCTTAAGTGGTTTCCTCTAGGGACAGGTCATATATCGTTGTTCCCTTAACAAGTTTTGTCACTTAAGCAATTAAGGCGCCATTAGGAGTTCCTATGAAGTACGAGTCGCAGTCGCCCCCCATCAGGCACCTAAAATTATGTTAAGGAGCAATGAAATCTAGTTGAATGAAATTCACTTGAATTTTGGTCCACCCCACAAATTCAATTAACTCCAAGAAAATATTTGCTCGCCCACGGTGCAGACGGAGAGAGCGAGACAGCAACAGAGAGAGAGACTAAACATAAATTTACAAGCATGTCGATAAGGATGAAACAAAGGACAACGCTAGATAAACTTTATTAAAAGCGGCAGCCAAAAACAACAGCAAGTATAAGAATGTCCAGCGAAATGGAGAACCGACTGAAATGTAATTACAAAAAGCGCTTAAAGGTGAAAATTTATGTATGTGTGGGAGAAAATGGAAAATGGAGATGGCAGATGCTGCACGCTGGATGCTTGATACTGGATAGTAACATCATTCGGCCGGAAATTAAGTTCTGCAGATTTATTGAAAGCGGATAGTAATGAGAGCTGAGCGACAGAGAACGATGATTGAAACGATATTACAGTTAGAGAGCGCATAGTACATAAATATAAACTAAAGCGAGCGTATAAGAGTTTAAGGCCAAAGCTTGCTTGAACAACAACAAAAACAATGCACAAGAGAATGTGCAAAATAAGAGAAAGAAAATATAACGGCATATATATGGCGCATGCAAATCAAATCAAATCAGAGCGAGCCATTGTTATCACTATGAAAAATCACTATTCAGTGAATTTTCTGTGAGCCATTTCTCAAATGCCTCCTACCAAGAGAAATGGAGAGAGTGCGAGTGAGAGTGAGTGAGCGCACCTTGGTAAATTTGTCAATTGCTTTTGTGCTCGGCCAGCAGCAGCACCAACAGCAGCCTTTTGTGTGCTCCACGCTTTGTTTGATGCAATGCTTTGGCCATTGTCTCTCTTCACTCTCACTCACTCACACTCTCCCTCCCTTTCTCTCGCTGTGTGTGCATTGCGTGTCCCTTTATTGTTGTTGTAGCTGCTGCTGTCAAGGCGACAGCGCTTGCTAATTTAAATGATGAAATGCCTGAAGAGACGAGTTGAATATAAAGTAAATGTCAGCTGAATAACGCTACCTTTCTCTTCCTCTCATAAAGCTCTGCACTGCGGTAGCACTGATTATTCAAAAATTCACCAAGCAAGCAGAGAGAGCAGAGAGCAGTTTGTATTTTTTGTATTTTTCAAAACTCTATTTTATTAGTTCATACTAACTAAAATTCTTTGTTGCTAAAAAAAATATTTATTTAAGCAAAAATATGTTGCTGGCAAAATCAACACAAGCACGCAAAGGAAAAATAAAAACAATTTATGCAATTTTAACACATGAACAAAAAGGTAGAGAATTCAAGTAAAGCAAACTTTTATAAGCTTTACAGCAGCCAAACTACAAAAACAACTGTAAATCAAGTATAAATTTACAACAAGAATTTCTACGGCAAAGTCAGAAAGACGAAAGCTTTTTCTTTGCTGTTGTGCATGAACTTCTAAAAATACCAAATATAAGTATAAGCAATGTTGACTGTTGAATACGCTACTGAATTGATAACAATGATTTTGCGCAAGTAGCGAACTCCCGTCCTTTTCTATGCGAGTCAAAAATTGCAATGTACGAGAAGCCGCAATAACTTTGATGCGCTGCTTCTCGTTTGCTATCAAGCTACACATGCAGCACTGAGTAGATGAAAGAGAGTGTAAGTGTGAGAGCAAGCAGCAAAGGAAGACTTTGCACTTAATTACGCTCATTTGGTGTACGCACTTTACACTTGTGTGCGTGCGTGCTGTTTCATGTGTGTGCAAATGCATTTGTTTGTGTGGGTGGCAATTTATGCATATGAAATAATGTAAAAGAAGTCTGTGTAAATAAACAGCAAAGTGCTGCCGGCGTTGAAATCATACAAGCGAACATACACCTAAGCAAACAGACACACACACGTACACGCACACAGAAACTTTAGGGAGAGAGAGCAGCAGCAATAATAACAGGAAGTGCATTTGTTGTTGCCGCTGTTAAGAAATCTACGGCTGCTGTAGATGCAGTTGTTGTTGTTGTTGCTGCTGCTGCTGTTTGTGCGTATGTTATCTTAGTTTATGTGCTTTTGCGCGTTTTGTTGTTGTTTGCAGTTGCTGTTGCCGCAGTTGTTGTTATTTGTCTGGCATAAGCATAAAAATGTCTGCCTTTGTGGCGTATCCCAGCAGCAGCAGAAGCAGCTGTTATACGCGCTCTGCCCTCGCACTCTCTTTCACTGCTAATTTGCGGCTCTGTTGGGTGCTAAGAGCAGTTGTGCCAATACGATCATTATTAGCATGTCAACAACAACAGCAGTAACAAAATCACAACTTTCGACAAACACAAACGATGAAGACGAAGACGTCAACATCGACGACGACGACGTCGGCGGCTACATGACAAAGCCACAACAGGAGATGTAGTAACTGCACAAATGCATATGCAAATATGTAAGTAGCTGCGCTGCCATCACTGTGATACCTCCTCTCTCGCCCTCGCTTCTACGCCCACCATATCTCTCTATGTGTATCTGCTTGTAATCAAACAAACACCAAATAGACTGCCGACCGGACAGTTGCAAACGACATGGAGCCGAGTGCAGGTGGAAAATGTCCAGCTGTTGGGCTAAATTCTTGTGCTAGCTGTAAATGCAGCCTGCCGGAAAACCACTGATTATGATATGTTTGTCTCTCTCACCCCAAGTTACTTAGGTTAACGCATTGAAAATAGAATTTTCTTGTTTAAATTTCATACAATTTCCTTAGTTTTTCGCCTCGAGTCAAATGTGTGAGCAAGGCGAAGTTTTTTGTTAAGGAATTAGGCACAAAAGTCAAATTGAGACAGCTTCAAATAGCTGTAAAAGCGCTCTTTTGGAATCAACTAACTGTATCGTTGACATTGCGGCGCTGCTTCCGTTGGCGGCGTTGGCGTCGCTGTTAAAAAATTAACAAAGCCTGACAACGGGCGTGCTTCACTGCCAATCGAGTAACTGTTGTTTTTGTTATTGTTGCTGCAATAGCTCAACATGGCAGCTCGACAATAATTTATAAGCTTTTAGTGCAACAGCAAAGTGGCTACAACAACAATAAAAGCCAAGTTTTTGATTTGTCTGTTGTTATTGCTATTCCTACTTCTGCTACTATTTATTTATTTATGTTGAATGTTTAATTTTTAATGTGCATGCAACTTTCGCGAACGTTATGAGAACTAACCGTGAAAGCTGGAGGGCAACAGAGCGAAGAGCGTAGAGCAGGCGAAGTGAGAAGAGCGGGCCCAACTGAAACGGCGAAAAAGGGCTGCCTTAGCAAGGCGGAGGGGCTTAAGAGTTTTATAAGCCTTTGGCACAACTTTTGCCACTTAAGCTTTATGTAAGTAAATATGTGTAAGGGAGCGAGAAGAAGAGAGCATTGTCTGCATGTGTGTGTATGTTTACTTATTGTTGTAGTTGACTAAATATGTTAACGCGTTTAGAAAACCTGCCGTAAGTCAAACAAAATCTCTTTAAATTGAACAGTTGAATGCGTTTAAGAGAGGAAGGAAATGGGAATTGCCACAAAAATCTTTTAGTTTCTTTAATATATATTCTATTTAGTTCTACTCCTAGGCTAATTAGTTAGAAACTATTCAATTCTTCCGTAAGAACTTAAATACTTTTTAATAAGATTTCCATTGCATGCATTTTAGGTTATGCACGCTTGAGCTGCTGTCGAAGAATCTTTCAACTGTAAATAGAAGTACTTGTACACCTGCATAACGGTATTAAAACTCAAATACTAGCTTTGCATCTATGCACCTTGTCTATTGAAAGCCCGTATAACAAATATGCATTGCAATATTCACGAGAGGCGAAACAAATGATTCTCCACTCCAAAACTTGCTCCTGCAAATCTGTAGGTGAGCGAAAGAGAGAGAGGGCGAGAAGATTTGTTGTTGTTGCAATGCAAAGTGTAAGAAAAATGGTGTAAAGTGCGCATTGTTCTTCCTGTTTCTCTTATACTGTATATGTGTGAGTGTGTGTATTTGTATTTGTGTTTGTTTCTGTGTTTGCGCGAGCCTCGCTTGTTTGTTTGCTTAGGAGGTCGTAAGAGAGGAGGAAAGGTATGGGGATAGGGAGAGAACGGGCTGGAGGGAAAGAGCGGAAGCTGCTTGGCTGCCAATTATTTAAATGCTGGTATTTACGCTAAAGCGGATGTGGGCCAAGACACTAGAAGAGGCAGAGCGTGGGACCAGTTGCCAGGAGTCGGATCTGCGAGTCGGAACCAGGAGTCGCATCAATCATTATCACATTTATGTAATATGCACAAGGAGCAAAAGAGACAGACGACAGCAGCCGGGTCATAAAAACCGCAATAAACCAACGGGGATTATGGCCATAATATGAGGATTTTCATTGTGCGGGGAATAGTCAGAGAGGGAGAGGGAGAGGGGAGAGGAGGAATAGCATGTAAGCAAAAGACAACAACGCATTTTTATTGCCTTCTGTTTTTTTGATTGCAACAAAATGCAAGAAATCAAAAAATCAAATAAATTATTCAAAGCCAGCTGATATTAATATAAATGCCAAATAACATAAGGATATGTGAAGGGGATGCAAGGATATGAGGCATATCCTTATGCCATATAAACAGAAAATGCTTCAGGCACAAACACACTTGATTGGATCGAAACCGCAAAGGCATTCCTCAAGGGTTTTTCTTCCCAATATTTTCAATGTCAAATTTATGCCAAGGCACGCCAAAAGTCTGGCAACGCC